TATCCCACAGCTCTACTGTGAGGATTAGTGTTTGTGGAGTGTGGTATACGTTATCTTGGGTGTGCTGGATCTGGACCTTTAATTTGGTTCTAAACGTGGAAATTTTAAAAGCATGTGTAAAACCACTCACTCTCTTCTTTAATGTGAGAGGACAGAAATATTTGCAGATGAACATATTACCTGCCCTTGCTGCACTCTGAGCTAGTGCAAAACAATTCAATTTTTATAGTTGCTGGTGTTGAATTAAATGACAAAATATCTACTTTCATTCACAAAATTATTTCGCCTGTAGAGCACAACCAAAGAAGAAGAAGAAAGTGGATTTAAAGAGAGAGCAAGCACAGAAGGATCGTATGAAAAAGAAGATTAAAAAGTTGGAAAAAGCTGCCTCAGAAATGATTCCAATTGAGGATTTTATAACACCACTTAAGTACTCGGATAGCAACAGGTAACAAGGACTGTCTTTCACCACGTGCTTGCATTCATGGTAGAAACACTTCTATTTTCTTTCTCTGCAAAACTGCAATATAGTCCCAGCCTTGGTACAAAACCTTATCGACTTCCACCAGGACAAAAATGTGGAAAGCAAATTTTATTCGCTCCTGCTAAAAGTACTGAAAAAATAGTAGCATGAATTTCCTGTTAGAATTCTGACCTGGAAAACCTCACAGACATTGCATGATTGGAACGTATTCTCTGGGTTTTGTGGGGTTTTTTGTTGTTTTGGTTTTTAATATTTGCTCTTTGGGGTGCAGGCTATTTCTCTTATTACAATGCTGTCTTATTCTTTATCAGGGTGCGAAGTCTTCCCCCTCTGTCATTTGAGGAGACTGAAAGAAGAGTTTTACTTATGAAGAAATGGGGTTTGTTTAAGCAGAAACAAGATCAGGCAGAAAAGAAAGCAATTCAGACCCTTGTAGAAGCTCAGCAAGAGGCACTAAAGGAACTGCGCCTCGAATCCGAGGAGTTGTATCAGGCAGCGATCAGGCGAGATGAGGGGCTTTTCCCCTTTGAGAGAGATGGACCTAATTACACGCCACCACTTCCTGGTTACGATCCTCCCGAAGGCAAATGTATTGATATCACCAAAGTATATACACAGTGATGGAGGAGTTTGCTCATCTGGCGTGAGCTACTCACCTGAGTGAAGGGGGAAAGAATGGAATGAGAATAAACAATTCCTTCTGCAGGTTAAAATACTGTAGGTGTGTGACTGTAAAAAAAACATATTAATGAAGTATCTGTTTGGTTTGGGTTTTTTTTAAATGGCTATCTAGGTAATAAGACACCCAACAAAACTACACCACCTTACACTTGTGCCATGCTAGAACAAGACAAAGTAGTACTTCACAGAGTGTTTTATTGTTCTGGGTTTATAGCTCATCCCTCCATACACTCCCAAGCAGCATTTTTTTGTTCTGCATAGACCATAACTTGGAAGATTCCTGCTATGAGAAGACAATGTCACCATCATCACACCAGAGTCTGTACTATAAAGGACTTCAGTGAAGTACTTTTGCCTCTAAGAGGGAAAACAGATGGAAAACATACCATGACAAAACCAAATTAATTTTTTTTTAATATATATTGCCATGTAAGTACTGTAACTAAGTTTCCAAGGGCTTGCCATAAAAAAAAATACCCCAGAACTCTCTTCATTCATTTAAACCTTTATTTTTGTAGTAATCTTGAATATTGCCATCAACACACACCGGCGTTCCAGAGCAGTTCCACAAAATGTCAGGGTTGCACTTCCAGAGTCTGCAACATCATCCCACCAGGTGAGAAGCTCTTAACCTGTGACAATAATGAATCTGGGAAATGCCTTTTACATGCCAGGGGTTGTGATTGTCCTGAACTGGCAGGGAGGAGTCCGAGCTTGGTATTGTTTTCCCATCTGGCAGGCCTGGGGTGGGTACCTTGTCCCAAACGTGTGCAACATCAGCTGGTGGGGGAAGAGGTCCTTGTCTAGCAAGAGGAGCTAGATCATGTATGCACAAATTTGGGAGGTGCCTGTTGAGTTGCTGAGATGAAATCCTAAAGTGTAAGACAGTAGTAAGAGACCAGAATCAAATTAAGCACCTCAACTGTCCATTTTAAAAACACCGTGTTTAAATAAACTCTCAGTATTTTTGAATGACTACTAAAGTATTGCAGGGCAGAGCTACAGTTTTAGCATTTCAAGATGCCATGGAGGAAAAAAAACCCAGCAGAGTTCTGCACTATGTGTTACATTACTGACCAAACACAGCGAAACAGTCCTGCTAATTGGGCTTGTCTTGCTCAAGTGGAAGATACCAGTCAGGTGGTGGGCTCTTCCTGAGCGTCCACACTGGAGCATATTTCTGTCTTTCCATAACTCGAGCTCTTTCACTGTTGCACAAAGCTTCCTGAAACACAAGGAAAAAAATATTATTGAAATAGTGTTGGATGTGCCAGTCTTGCAGAGCTTTTTTTTTCCTGCTGTGACTATTTGAGATAAAACAAGGAACAGAAATTTGTCATGCTAAAATTGAAGCACCAAATGCTATCTAAGTAAGCCAGGATACAAGCTTTTAACTGTGTCATGTTTATATTTTGCCTCTGACTCCTCCATTATGAAGAAAACTACCGCTTTTGTGCTACCCTCCCTGACAGAAGTTGTCTTAGTTGGCTGAAAGGATGAGTTACGCTGCAGCCTGCGCTGAAAGGCTCTGGTCTTTGGGGCTGTCGCCAGAAGAAATGCTTCTTGCCTGTAACGTGGCAGCTTTTCATGCCATGCAGGGAATGTCAGAGTACCTGAAAGCAAGAGCTTTTACGGCAAAACACTGAAAATACTCCCGCGGGATGTCCTGACCATCTTGCCCCTCTCCACCCCAAGCACTCGCTGGCTTCTCCAGCCCCTTCAC